GAGCGGCGTCCCAGTCGGCTGCTGCTGCGATTGATTGGACAAATTGGTCGGGCTCGGGGTACGTGGACGCCGTTGGCATTCCGTGCACCCCAAGAGAAATCGCGTTACGGCCTCGCGGGGTAGGAACGCGTACGTTTCCGTGATCTGAAACGAGACAGACGATAGGCGTGTTAGATCTTTTTTTTATTTAAGATAAGAAGGTTTAGGAACGATTTCCAATAATCGAGAAATCGAGAAATCTTCGACGAGACGCTTTTTATATATATCGAAAGGTAGTTGAAAAGTATTGTACACTGGTGGAAAGAAGTCTGTATAATTTGAATATTTTCGAAACGATTATTGTCTCGAATATAAAAATTAAGTTATGAGAAATAAGAATTTTTATATCGTATCTAAGACTTCTTTCGACCAGTGGTTGGACGCTCAATGATTCGATGCCAATCGACGGACAACTCTGGACTTCTATTCTCCCAAGTATTCCAATCCTCTCGAAATGTGTGGCTCGAATTCCATCTAAATCGGCACGAGGAACGTCCCCGCAGTTATTTCGCTTCCCTCGACACAGGTATTTTCGACCGAGGATTAGAAAGGCGGCACTCGTGATTGACCCCTTTCGGTTCCGCCGTAGAACCGCGTGAGCCGTCACGTGGAGGAGCCAGTTTAACGACGCCCACTGGGGAAAATTCATGGGCCAGTAACGGAACTTTGATGTCTTTGCGAGAGGCATATTTAGCTAGGGGGAGATGATGTTCACTGCCTCCTCCTCCTCTTCCTCCTCCTTAATAGGAAACGTTTCTCTCTGAGGAGGCGAGGCATAACTTAATCAAGGATGGGAGGCTGGGAAAGGCATCGATGGTGGTCGATGGTCCGCGTGTTTGTGTATGGGGCAAGGAGAAGGTAATTCGATAAGATTTACTCGAGGCTTGTACTTCACTTGTACTTCGAGGAAAAAAAAAAGAATCGACGAAAAGATCCTTGGAGATCGATGATAGCTTCACTTTCTTTCGAAAGTGGATTACATTTATATCACGATGCAAACTTTATTCCAAATTCTTAAGAATAATCCCAATTAATAACGTTTATCGAAAAATTGTAATTTTTTTTTCCGAACGTCTGATCGAATTCTTTCGATATAGCACGAATAAATATTATTGGATAATTTAATTCCTTAAAAAAAAAAAAAAAAAAAAAAAAGAAAAAGAAAAACGCAAATCGAAGATAAGTCGGGCTACGCGCAATAAAGGTCGACGCGTGCGTGCGTGTACGCGCGGGCGCAGGTCCGCGTGTGGGTGCACCACCAGTAAGCAGGCAATGCAACAAGTATCCTGAGGTTTTGAATCGCAAGCAGATCGCGGACGGACGGCCGAGAGAGAGAAAGAGGACGGCGACGCGACTCGAATGGGGATATGGGGTGGGGGGAGCGGGGAGAGTGGGAGGGGAGAGAGAGGAGAGCGCGCACCGATCGGGTCGCGTAGGACGGTGTCACGGAACAGATATGATACCCCGGAGAGAGGTTTACGCAAACGCGCGGCGGAACACGTGAGATGACGTGTGGTATCGAGTGTTCGACGCTTGGATGCCTCGATGCCTTCTCCCCCGGGAACGGTAAATATCGCGTGTCGCGGTCGGCCATGCAAGAATTCGGCTCGCACGATCCCGAACGGATTCGGGGTCATCGATATATATCTCCTCCTCCGGGGAGAGATCCGCCGATTGAATTCAAATCGCCGGAGGATAGTTGGATGGAAAAATTGTTTCTTCTTTCGAGGATATAGGTTGGCTGTTTTTCCTTTTTTCTCAATCGCTCATCCAGGGAGGAGGGGGTGATTCGAGAGAGGTTCGAGGAGATTTGAGGGGTAGTAATGTGTTTCGCGGTTGAGTGAATGATCGATATTGGATTGCGGATGAAAATATTTGAAATTTTTAATGGAGATGAGATTAAGCGAAGCAGACTCGATTCGTTTTTTCGAAAATATTTCTTGATACTTGAGCATAATAATATCTAATAAAATAAAATCTTTGATTTTATGGAATTTTAAAGCTGGATATATTGGATAGTTTTTATAAATTATCGTCGAGTGTGTATATGGGAAAGTAATAGATATTTCTGTTTGAAACTTACCGTTCTGTACGTTCTCTTTTGACCGGCATGCTTCCCTGGACGACCCTCAAGGTCAACATGGACAGCATGAATAATGTCGAAGAAGTTCTCCACGATCGCGACTTTCTTATACACTCTTCCGGGTGGAACGGTACCCTCGGCGCCGTTTAACGTCTGGAAAGGAACGTGTGACATAGTTAAAAATTCAATCTAACTTTTAAATAGTTAAAGTAGATAAAAAAAAAAAAAAAAGAAGAAGACGAACAATTCTAGGGAATTTATTAAAATGCATCGTATTAATATATCTTCTTGCGAATCTATTAAACTTTACCATTTCTTTTCAATTAAGAAACACAATTGTAGATTTTATTTGATTGTTAAGTTAGTTATCGTAACGTTTATCTAAGATAAATTTAAACTTATAGATTTCATATTTTACAAAATTTAATCCAATTTAGCAGTTGCATTTTGTGTTTCAGTGCCATCTGAACCGATGGGTGCAACTGCACTGCGAACAAGAAGGTTTCTACCTTCGTATCAGATGCACACCAGATCTCTACAATTCCGTTACCGACGGATGCTCGCGGTTTATCATAGTCGGTAAGCTAGGAAACCCTGTACATTCTCTATTTATCATCGATAATACAGATTTCTATAGAACCTAATCCATTTGATTTGAAATTGTTAATTTCTATTTTTTAAATAAACCTATTAAAAACATTAAAGGCAAAGTGACTTAAAAAAGTGATAAAACGAACGAATTTATCTACTCTCCTAAATATTCCAACCTTCGTACAAGATTCAATAATTATTTCAACTCCTTCGTAAAAAAAAAAAAAAGAAAAAAATAAATAAACCCACCGTACAATCATTACAAGCTCTAAAAATTATTCCGACAAAATATCCTCGTATACGTCTCGTATACGTCTCGTATACAACTCACGGAAAAGGATACCATTCCACGAGCAATTCTTTTGCCTCGTGGAGGTGTCGCGAGGTATGGGGCGGGGAGAGAAAAAAAAAAAAAGGAAAAAATTCCAACTAGTCCAGAAACTCGATTAACTCACGGTACGCGGATGGCGTGACGACGGTTCGCGCGGGCTTGGCCGCGGTCAGATTGTTCGGACGAACTTTCCGACCTTAAGAAGTTGCGGGCGCATGCGCGACATTATTGTATTTCCCTAAACACCTGTTGAAGGATAAAGTTGAACTCGTGGTGAGTGGGAGGAGGGAGGGGGAGGAATAGGTGGAGGAGAAGGGGGTTTACGACTCGGTTAAGTGGCTGCGGTCAGGCGGGATAACAATGCCGATATCTAGGTGACCGCCGCCTTAAGATAACACGCGGTGCGCCCGATCGAACGACCACGACCCGTCCCCTCCCCCTTTCCTCCCTCTCTCTCTCTCTCTCCCTCCCCCCTTATTCCCGCGCTACCGCCGCCTTCCGCCACCGTAATTGGACGTAATCGTGGCGACGATCCCGCGCCTCCTCGGCCTCGCCGAACGGAAATCGATGCTTTCGCAAATATCGGGACGGCGCGATCATTCAATTTTAAACGAGCCGACCGAACGGTAACGGATTAAAACCGGAGCAGACGGGGCTCGATTCGACGCGGCGGGTCCCGATTTTATCGGGAAATTATAATACTGAAATATTTCGCGGTGGCTGAGCGGGGCTCGCTCTGAAAATAAACACGTTTCTTTCTCGTCGCAGACGGTGTCGCGAAAACGGGATAGAGAAAAAAATATATACGTATATTTTTCGATCGACGGACTCGAGAATTTGATTGGTTGTAAATTCTTCGAGTTAGAATTAAAAGGTGAGGTAATTGGATACACGTATGAGAGAGATTTTATTTAACCGTATTGGAACGGGATTGGAATTTAAAAAGTTCCTCGTACCGAAGGGTCGTATTGAAGAATTCGTGTGAAGAAAATTAAATTCTTTATAGAGGAAATTCTTCTGGGAAAAAGAAACTCGCATCTGTTTTAACGCTTATATTGCACGAAAAACCGTCGTGCAATAATATTCATGAGGGAATTGATAAGCAAATAATAAAAAAAAAACCTCGCGAAGTCATATTGATTCACACCTATATCTCCAAATATCTACACGAATATCTTATTTATATATCCAAAACCAAATACGTACTTGACGCTCTCCAATAAAATGCATAAAAATTTCCACAATAACAATTCCACCAATTCTTTATAATTCTTTATAATCCTTACATTATTTTTTAGAACGATTCGTCCCTTAAATCGAAATATTGGTTCCATCCCTTATCAAACGAAAACTAAATAAATAAATAAAACATAATAAAACAAAACGGAAATATTTCCGTTCTATTCTATTTCAATTCTATTTCCAGCTCACAACCGCGAAGACTTAATATCCAATTAATATCCCCTCCCCAAAAACCAAAGGATATCCTAAATTGCTCGCGAGCTAGAAATTTCACGGCACATAACGTAAATCATTGGACGACCGCGGGATCTCGATCCATCCACTTTCCCCGATAATCGTCCGTGATCCACCCGGGGGTCAGACGCCGTCCACTTCTCTTCCCTCCCTCCGCTTCCGCAGATAGCCTTCGATCGAAAACGGGCGGAGATTAACCTACTTGAGAGAGGGGTGTATACGCGTCTTCCGTGTCATCCGCTTATGTAAACCGAGAGGGTTGAACACGATTCAGCCAAAGGTACAAAACTCGAGAGAGAGAGAGAGAGAGAGAGAGAAGGAGAGGGAGGGATGACTTTCGGCATTCCGTCGCCCGTGGATGGCCATTTCACGCAGCGTGCGTATTGGCCGTGTGACGAGGAGAGTCCACGGTCTGGCCGCGTGCCTCCACGGGCCATGATATGTTGTCTGGAAATGTGTCAATACTGAATATGTATGCCAGTATACGGAGAAGACTTCTGAGAACTCGTTTTAATGTTTAATACAAAGGTGCACGCGCTTTTGTTTTCCGTTAGCCGATCCCTCCGTGGTGTAGTAGGGGAGGGGGGATCTACAAGCAACGGATTTCTTGGCATCGGGTCTTGGATCTTCTTTTGGAAGAGAATTCTGTTCGGCATGGACATGTTTCGGAATTTTTTTTGATTTGGCATTAAGATAAAGAGAGGAAATTTGATTTTTGAACGCACGATATAATTTTTCTTTTGTTTTTAACATTAGTTGGAAATGGAATTTACGGTTTAAAAATTCTTTCCTTTGTATTTTATAAGAATCGTTCGTAAAAAAAAAGAGAATAGAACTAAGTCGAGAAAAATCCTATCGTCAATATGTTTTCATGATTTCTAAGGCTTTTAGGAAATGGTTCTCACTCACGCGGAGAAATAAAAGAAAGGAAGAAAAGATTGATTGATCAGGTTGAAGGGGAGAGGGTCGCGAAAAGTCGGCCTCGAAGAATATTATATTATCGAAGGGGTGATCTCGAGAAACCGAAATCTTGCTAAATATCGCATAAGTGTTAAATGTTGCAACTTTTGCTTCCTATCTTGCTCAGTTATCGTAGCGATATTACGACTACGAAGTTAAGAGACTCGAAGGAACGAGACGGTTTGCAATTACGTAATTCAACCCCTTGCGATACGTTGCATAAAATACTTATTGCTATAAAATTGGTCGTATAATTTTTTATAATAAAAATTAATCATATTCGTAGTTATACAAAAATAATCTGATAATAATAAGGAGACTGTTGTGAATGTTTCACGTCAATTTATATTTGGCTATATCGAAACCTAAATAAAGATTAATTTCATCCATGAAGTATTAGGCTGCATTATTTTAGACATGTCAGATAAATTTCTTATAAATATCTAGAAAAACAATTTCAGAAATAATTTACTGAAGAAATAAATCGATTTCGTAAAATAAAAAAAGAAACCTAACTATCGATATATTAAATATAAAAGCAAAAAACTTTTTATGTAACGTGTAAAAATATTCTCTCTTTTGTCAACAAAATATAATATCTAAATATCAATATTATAAACTCGATATAATATAATTTTACGTATTCTGTTATAGAACGGTTCATATGCAAGACATAATCAGTAAAATGTTCGCCTATCGACGAAATGGAACATTTCTAACGATATTTTCCTTTTTCTTTTTTTTTTTTTTAATATCTAATAACGATATATATTACCACTTTTTGCGCAACTTTCTGTAGCAATGAGAACCATTGCAAACCGTAATATATGGAAATCTCTTTATGGTAAACGGCTATAATCACTCGTGGCAGATAAGTATACGAAGATCGTTTCGAAGCAAGCGGTAGCGAAAGGGTTAATTAACCCCGCTTGCCTTGCGATTTTTTTTACGTCTACTCGCGGCGTTAAAGATGGATATTCGCTATTTTAATATTACGGCCGGTAAAAATTTTTAATAACCATAACACGGTAACAGAAAATGCTATATACGTATAACCCTATTTTTCTATGTTTTCTTAGGTATGTAAAATAAAATATTTTTATTTTTATCCCCGAGACATAAGATTTTGATCGAAAATTTTCTCCTGGAGATATATCTGCATATATCGCGTTCTTTTAAAAGAATATTGGAAATTGCGCATAATGATACGCTTGACAGGCTTCGATTTCGCATTATACTCATGTTAAGATTAAAGCGATATTTTTATAGCGAATATAACTCGCGATTGTTACGTTCAATCATCAAATGATGCCGAAAATGATAGTGTCGAAAAACAATTCTGAAAATATCTAGGTTATGTGTACACGTAAATATTTTGTGCTTCATTTAATATATATTCTTTAATCTACAATCTAGATTATTTATCTAGCCTATCTATTTGATATAAAGAAAAATTTTGATATGTGTAACTTCAATTCGATATGAAATATCGAATAAAAAAAATATTCTGAATAATATTTATTCTCCAAATATTTAAAATCATATTTTTTAATAAGAAATTATGCTAAAATTATATAGAATATATAACTAAAATATATATTATAGGATGTAAAGATAAACTCTTGCGAGAAAATAAAAATTTAATGAGACATCCGATGGCAATTACTCTTACAAAAATATTAAGAATACTTACAACAATGATTAAAAATATTTGAAAAATGTCTAATCCCATATAACGAATCACCATAAATCCAGATTAAATCTAAATGATCGAAAATATCGATCTATCGCGTAT